TAATTTTACCACAAAAAACTGGGAAAAACTATTGACTCGAGTTTAAGCCCCATCATTAGTATCAGTGGGAGGAATAGTGCCCCATCATTGGTGTCAGTGGGAGGAATAGTGCCCCATCATTGGTATCAGTGGGAGGAATAGTGCCCCATCATTGGTGTCAGTGGGAAGAATAGTGCCCCATCATTGGTATCAGTGGGAGAAATAGTGCCCCATCATTGGTGTCAGTGGGAGGAATAGTGCCCCATCATTGGTATCAGTGGGAGGAATAGTGCCCCATCATTGGTGTCAGTGGAAGGAATAGTGCCCCATCATTGGTGTCAGTGGGAGGAATAGTGCCCCATCATTAATATCAGTGGGAGGAATAGTGCCCCATCATTGGTGTCAGTGGGAGGAATAGTGCCCCATCGTTGGTGTCAGTGGGAGGAATAATGCCCCATCATTAGTATCAGTGACACCAATGATGCGGCACTATTCCTCCCACTGTCACCAATGACACTTGCTGACCCCTGTTGCAGTATGGTGCTGCAGCCAGCATATGTGGTTGCAGCAGCACCTCTGCACTGCACACTTACTGGCTTTTCGCTCACTCGATTTTCGCGGGTCCGCTTGGCTCCGCCTCCTCGCCCGTGATTGGCCGCCTGTGTACCTTTCCTGAGCTACAGTTCTGGCGGCCAATCACCGGTGAGGAGGCGGAGCCGAGCGGCAGGAGTGAGGGAGTGGCCTGGAGTGACGGAAAGAGCAGCGCTTCCTGGATGGATCATCGTGGGAGCCAGGTAAGAGACAGCAGCCCTCTGCCCACCCCTGTACGCGCCCCCCTTGACGTTGACTCGAGTATAAGCCGAGGGGGCCGTTTTTCAGCAAAAAATGTGCTGAAAAACTCGGCTTATACTCGAGTATATACGGTATGTAATAAATATATTTTTATTAAGAGGTAATGCACTCACATGTATAAGCTAATAAAAACACCATAAAACAAGATTGAGAGTCACCAGATCCAAGCTGCGCTACCATACAGCGTTACTTCCCAACGTGGATTGGGAGTAACGTTGTATGGTAGCGCAGCTTGGATCTGATGATTCTCAATCTTGTTTTATGTTGGGGCTGTTTGTCTTTCTCTGGTAAAAGATGTCCCAGACCCATTGGTTCAACAATTGGTTTCAAAGGGGTACAGAATAGAGTTCCAAACCTCACCGCTTCTTCTTTCACATTAAACTGCCCAAGGACAGTTATATTTGTAAAATGCCACAAACCTTCCTTTTTGCCAGGGTGCCATTGTGCCAGTACCACCAGAAGACAAGTTCAAAAGATTTTATTTAAACCTGTTAACTGCACCAAAGCCAAATGAGGGTATTCCTCAAATTCTAGATTTAAAATCTCTCAACAAATTCCTTCAAATGCCAAAGTTTCGCATGGGTCCCTCAAGATCAATAATTGCCTCTCTGATACTAGGGGAAATATGGCATATGTGGACATCCAAGATGCCTATATACATGTTCCCATTTACTCACCTCATCAGTGCTTTCTGCACTTTGCATTGGCAGACAACCACTTCCAGTTTGTCACATTGCCCTTGGTCCTATCGTCTGCTGTCAAAGTGTTCACAAGGGTCTTAGCGCCTTTGCTTGACCTCAGAATTCATGGCATCTATGTCACATGCTGTATGGGCAACCATCTTCTGAAGGACTCATTTCCTTTGTAGCTATTAGAAAATAACCACTTCAGATGCTCCTGGCTGTTGGTTGAGTGTTCAATTTAAAAGAAAATTTATCTTCAGCCTTCCCTTTGCTTGGAATGCATTTTCTCTAAGAGCACATGCCTGAGTCTTGAAATCTTAGAGACATCCCAAATTCAGATTCTCCATTAGAACTCTGGGCCTAATGGAAGCCTCATTCGAAGCAAGTAACATTCACCCAATTTCATTCAAGAACTCTCCAACAAAATATCTTGATAGCCTGGAACAAGCAAGCTCCTCTCAGTTTGCCAATGCTCCTGTCCAGCCAAGTAAGGAACTCTTTATCTTGGTGGATCACCACCCCAGGCCTAACAGTGGGGAAGTCCTTCCTTCCCTATCACATGAAAGTTATCACAACAAACACTCTCAGTCTCTTAAGCAAAGGAGTGTTCCAATCCCTAACAATGCATGGAACATGATCACTAAGAGACGCTAAGCTTCCCATCAATGTCTTGGAGCTCAGAGCAATCAGTTTGGTCCTGCATCACTGCCCCCCTCCCCCCCCCTTCTGTAGGGTACAGTCAGAAAATATCATGGCAGTTGCCTACATCGACCATCAAAGGAGCACCAGAGGTCTGGCTGCCTTGAAGGTAGTGAACTAGAATGTCTTTTGGAAACTCATTCACTGTCTGATCTCTGCGGTCCACATTCCAGGAGTGGACAACTGGAAAGTGGATTATCTCAGCTGCCATCACCTTGATCAGTGGGATTGTGCCCTTCATCCAGGTGTCTTCAATCTAATATGTAAACAATGGGGGATTCCACATGTGAACATCTTAGCTTCTGAAATGAACAACAAACTGCCTCTGTTGCCAGAACCAGGGATCCTCTAGCTCTAACCTGAGACGCCATGATAATTCCACAGTCACTAGACATGTGCAGAATGAAAACATTATTTTGCTTCGATTCATTATTTAAATAATTTTATGTGGTTAAATTAGTTAAATTTGTTTTCGAAATTCGCTTAGGTTCATTTCAATAATTCATTTTCAAATTTGATTCAAATTTTCCAAATTCAGTTGAATTGAATTCAATTCCACCGAATTCAAAAAATTAGAATTAGCATTATTATTTATTCCATTCGAAATTCTAATTTTGGAAGACGGTTATATTCTATTTTATTCCATTCTATTGTTTTTTCTATTCTATTCATTCCTATTTTATTCTTTTATTTCTGTTCTAATCTTTTCTATTCCATTCTATTCTATTGTTTTTTCTATTCTATTCTAATGTATTCTTTTCTATTCTAATCTATTCTATTCAAATTCAAATTTGTTCCATTTGAAATTCGAATTTCAGAAGACGGTTATATTCTATTTTATTTTGTTCTATTTTTTTCTATTTTATTATATTCTTTTCTGTTCTATCCTAATCTGTTCTATTCTATTATTTTATTTTCTAGTCTATTCTTTTCTATTCTGTTTGAAATTCAAATTTCGGAAGACAGTTCTTTCTGTTTTATTCTATTTTATTCTTTTTTCTATTCTATTTTATTCTATTCTATTATTTTCTTTTCTATCCTAATCTATTCTATTCTAATTCAAATTTATTCTATCTTAAATTTAAATTTTGGAAGACAGTTGTATTCTATTTTATTCTATTCTTTTCTATTCTATTTGTTTCTATTCAGTTTGTTTCTATTCTATTCAAATTCAAATTTGTTCTATTCATAATTTGCAGTTTGGAAGATGGGTATATTCTTTCTATTTTATTATATGCTATTCTATTATTATGTTTCTTCTTTGTATTCTTTTATTTTTGAATGTTTTCTATTCTATTCTAATCTGTTCTATTATTTTCTCGTCTATTCCTTTATTTTCTATTCTATTTTATTCTATTATTTTACTTTCTATTCTATTCTGTTCTGCTTTACTCTAGTCTATTCTGTTTTATTCTATTATTTTCTTTTCTAGTCTTTATTTTCTATTCTATTTTATTCTATGCTATTCCCTTATTTTCTATTCTTTTTTACTTTATTCTATTCTTTTATTTTATTTTATATTCTATTCTATTCTGTTCTGTTTTACTCTATTCTTTTCTATTCTATGTTCTATTCTATTATATTATTTTCTATTCTATTTTATTCTGTTCTGTTTTACTCTATTCTATTATTTTATTTTCTATTCTATTTCTGTATTTTCTATTCTATTTTATTCTACTCTAATCAAATTCGATTTGATTAGAATTTGATTTGAATTTTGGATGAAATTTTGTTTCGTTATTTTGGGTGTGCTACTATTGTAATCCTCAAGGTTAATGCTCCAATTAGATTTTTTGTGTCCTGTTCAAAGTCCACCACTGCACGATGGAAAATCTGACTGCAGGAGCCTACATTCTCAAAAGAAATCTCCTCCTGTGCTCATTCCACCAGATCGATGGGTGTTGAATGAGCAGTTTGGCAACAAGCCCAGTTGTGTAAAGCCACCACCTGGTCTTTTTTTTATGCTTTTTGAAAGTTTTCAAAGTTTTACCAGGTGGACATTTGATCATCTGCTGATACAACTTTTGGCTGCAAGGTTCTCGCAGTGGCTTTCTGAGGTTGGGTCTTTTGACCCTTGTTGTGGGGCCTGTTGGAACAGTTCTCTTTACCTCATTGTTGCCCACCCTTCCTATTAATTGCTTGGGAAAGTCCCATGGTGTATGAATATTCTGCCCGTGTATGTTTAAAATAAGAGTAACTTTTACTTACCTGTAAATTCCATATCTGGGAGTACAGTACAGCACACAGGCTACCCTCCCTTCCATTCCTTAATTTACTATTCATTGCTTGTTACAAAACTGAGGACTCATGGAGTTGGGTAGGGTTATAAAGGAAGTTTCTAGGGGGCTTGTTCTCTAAAGCTTTGCCAGTGTCCAACCACCTGAAGGTACATGCCTATATCGCATGGTGTATGTATATTCTGCTTTTCCTCTTTTTATCCCGAGGAAGGGGAGTGGTCATGCACAATTCCTTTTTTTCCTATAATGTTTTATATGTAAATAACTGTTAGATGCATAATTACGCCATATGGATAGTTAAATTGTTATAGGCCTTTTTTTAGATGCAAACACTTTTTAACAGTTTATTTAAGTATGTGTCTCATAGAACATTTTGTACTGTGAACTATTGGGAGCATAGGAGAAAATTGAAAGGGGTACGATTACAATTTCAGTAATTAGCAGAAAGTTAAATGCCCTCTTATTGATCCTTTCCACTGCACAGAATTCAATTATTATTTGATTAATCCATTTGCTGTTCCAACAATTGACATTTCTGCTTCTTCTTTAGGGAATGTTGGCTTTAGTACTAAATTGCATTGATCGCCTAAATGTGTACAGCAGTGCGGCACACTTTGCTGAAATTATTGGAGAAAAAGCTGGGCCAGCATGGAAAGAAATACTGAACCTCTTCTATGAATTGCTAGGTAAGTGATCACTTTAAAAACATGCAGTTTTTGGTGCTTGCCGGTAACTTTAGGTTTAATAGCTAACTGCAAAAAACCATAGTTGCATGCTATATTGTACACATAATTCTCTTTACAGGTTAAGATAGGGATTTTGGCATTATTATCTGCCATGAAACAAGCAAGATACGTTAAGGAAATGGCAGGTGAACATGCAGGGATCAGAGGTGGACAGGCAGGGTTCTCTGAGCCATGGCCAGCATTGATTGAACTTCTACTTGGACAATATACTTCAACGAGGCCCTACTCTTTTGCCTTTTACTAACTTTATAACTTTTATAGGAGAGCCAGGGGCTTTGTGAAGTCTAAGTAAGTCCCTAAAATCAAGGATAGATTGTAAAGGATAAGTTCATCTTTCGTTACATGTTACACCCATTTTCAGGGTGTACCATGTTACGAATGGACCGGCCCCTGCACCCCCCAATCCCCCACTGTGACAGCTAGCAGTGGATCTTCTCTCCCTGCTAGCTAGCACAATTTTAAAGGAATGCGGCAAGGTGGGGCTCTACCCACCCGGCCACGTCACTCATTCACATTATTCTGTGAATGAGTGAACTACAAGTCCCCCTTTGTGGCTGTCGGCTTGTAGTTCTCAATGAACTACCACGGCACAGTAGAGCGCCGTGGTAGTTCATCGAGTCTTCCTGTCAGTAAGTACTGTATCTGCTTGCTTGCAAAAATTATTGGCACACAGAAACACTGACAGGTCTGCAGGAGACCTGCATGGCACCAGCGTTCTGCTGATCACTGGTACTATGCTTTAGAGGCTCCAGAAACTAAAAAAAAAACAAAAAAGCACTTTTTCTACCTGCAAAAGATATGTATTTATTATTTTTTGTTAAAAGCCTATCCTTTAAGGATTTCACTGAACTGAACAGGTATTAACCAAGCATTTTTCTGTCAAGCAATCTGATTATGCATTGCTGACTTGCATCGTAAAAATCAGGGTTCATGCATCCCACATCTCCACCCTCCCATAAAAATGAATTTGTCGGGGGGCCTATAATCCTTGCACAACCTTCCAGTTTTATAAGAGCCCATGTAAAAGCCTATTTTAGGGGCACCTGTACTGCTGTTAAACACATTTTCCTATTATTAATTTAATTGATAATGGTTTTCTAAGCACTGATGGCTGCTTCTTGCAGTCCCACAGCTGTGCATCAATCTGCAGTAGTGGGGAAAAGAAGAAAAATGGAGGTATGTCTGACCTCTGGTTACGGTAAGAGCTGCACTGCATGAATAGCAGTGCTTTCAACTTTACTTAGACATAATTTTAAAGTTTTTTTTTTTTTTTAAGAGGGATTAATATTTCACTTCCTATCAAAATAAATTATTTTAGAGACTACCTTGAAGAGGGTCACATTTTTTTTTGTACCTGACAATTTATAAAATGATGAAAACTTGCAATCCTGTCTACTGTTTGTCCTGAAAGTGAAATGTGTTGCTGGAGTGCAACAACAATTTAACAATGTACAGCATCCTTTTGCTAGTGCGAGATGCTATACTGAGTAGGTGCTTGCAGCTGCATTTATTATAACACACTTCAACACACACAGTGTTTTCTAAATATGAGAGCCTGTATTTTGATCAGCAGACATAAAGTAGTTGTTGAAGCACTGGACCCTAATAAGCTGAATCGCTATTAGGGTTGAGGTTAGCAAGTTGCAATATCCTAGGGAAAAAACAGTTTTCAAGATGGCGCTAGGTGCAGATGGGTAATTGGAATGTAAATAGTATATAAGGTGGAAGGATGGAAGTGCCACACGAGTTCCAAGCAAGTCCACTAGGTTTTTAACAATACCAGCTAAAGTCCTAAAATACACTGATCAGCCATAACATTAATGACTGCTGACAGGTAAAGTGAATAACATGGATTACAATGACACCTAAACGTGGGTGGGATATATTAGGCAGCAATTGAACATGTTGTCCCTGAGGTTGATGTGTTAAAAGTAGAAAGATGGGCAAGTGTAAGGATTTAAAGGCGGAGTAAGGCCAAAACTCTATTAGGTCACAGGAATGCACTTATTTCTGCACTCCTGTGACCCGTTTTCAGCCGACAGTGGGCTTAAGCCTAATGTCGGCTGACTTCATTGAACTGGTCCAGGCCGTGGAAAGATCCTGACTTTAAAGTTGGGATCCACCCAGATTCTTGACCAGCAGCTTTTTGAGCTTCCCAGCTTCTGATCACCATTAAAGGCTGCTTTACTGGCCACCTGAAATGCACTGGTTTCTTTTTTGATGTCTGCTGATATTAATAAATATTGGACTATTGGACTTGCTTGCAACTTGTGTGCACTCCCATGCTTCCACCTTGCTTTTACTCTATATTTTGTTTCACAAAAACATTTTATTGGGTTTTTGAGTACTGCTATCAGGTATCTAAAACATTTGCATATAGAAAAAAATGCAACATCAGTAAGGTTACAGAGGCAAGAAAACAATAGGAATAGGTCCACCGAATAAAGTAGAGATGACACTGAAAATGACATCTTAAAGTGGAGTTCCACTCACTCTGTAAATAAATAAAAGTTAGCAGCTACAAAAACTGTAGCTGCTGACTTTTAAAAAACAGCCACTCACCTGTCCCATGATCCCGCGTTGCCCCCGCTGTAGCCCGTTTCACCAGCCGTCCTGTATTTCAGGCGCCGGCATCTTCAGTGTGGGCACCCGGCTGTGACAGCTTGTGGCCTCACAGCTGGGTGCCCACTGTGCATGCGTGAATAGCACTGCGCTTCCTGAATGGCCCCGTCGTCTTCTGGAACCTGTCACCTGTGCCACAAGACTTAGGAGAGGGAGGGTAGGAGGACAACTTCTGTTTCTGATCGCATAGGTGATCGCAACGGAAGTGGGAGCGGGTACCTGTCAAATTCAGGTACCCGTCCTCCCCCCCTGCTCCCCAAAGGTGCCAATCCTTAATGGGAAGCGTGGGACCATTCTTTAAAGCGGAACTTCCCCTTTTGGGTGGAACTCCGTTTTAAGCTAAAAGGCATCGGTAACTGTAAGCTTGGAGAAGCTCCATCAGAAACACAATACTACCTACGAAGAAGTATGACTAGATGGGGGTGTGGTAGAAGGAGTAAGGTATTCCAGAATCCAAGATGGGTAAAGGGTAAGAGAGATGGGGACAGTGTCCAGGTAATCTGCCTAAAATCCATGGTGGGCAGCAGAGAGGAATTAAAGGGAGAAAGGGAGAGGCTTGTCTGGGGTGAAAGGGGGGTATCCTGTGTGGGCCAGCCGAGTACACAACACACAAAAAAATAAAATGTCCATCCTTACTCTATATTTTGACCATAAGAAGCTTAATCAATAGGTTTTAAGGGTCATGTGCCTTCATCAGGTCTAAATAAAATGATAAAATAGAACGCAAACATAAAAGTCTGTAAATTACATCATATTGTTGTTGAAATATAATGAACCAAAAGCAAGGTTAATTTCTTATGTGATCATATCAGTTGTTTTGATCTAATTTTAGTAGAGTCTTTTCATCAAGGAGCATATAGCCATGGTCTTAAAGCAGTTATGAATCTACTGTATGTTTCTTGCTTTGGAAACATAAAGGATAAAATAATATGCAAACGCTATAAAAGGACTCATTTGTGATGATAACTCTGATAAAGAGGCTCCAAGACCGTTGAAAGATGTTAGCCAGGTTTTAGTGATTATCAGCCTTTCTTTTTTTGGAGATGGGTGTTTGTTACCTTTTATATGTACTAGAAGCTGTTTTTTGACAGAATCTGTTCTTTTTCACCAAATACTGTATATGAACCAACTGTATGTATCATGAAACTGTAATTCTCTGCTCCTGCAGATTTTTACAGGCTGCATTGATGTTTATTTTTTTTTTAATTGTCGAACCCTTCTAGTCATTACTGGTATACAGTGGAAAAGGATGTTGCTTATTATGCAATCTTTTATTTCTTTTATGTTTGTCTTGTTTTCAGTAATATTATTTTTGTTCTTTTAGCTGCCCTGATTCGTGGAAACAGAAGTAACTGCGCACAATTTTCCAATAATCTTGATTGGCTTATTAGTAAGCTAGAGCGTCTTGAGTCTTCTTCAGGTATGTCCACACAGTTTCATTTTTTATCAAGAATCATCTTTTACCTGTATCAGCCAAGGTCCTCATCCAGTGCTGGTGGCTTCTGTTGCCCTGTTTCCGGAATGCTTTTCCTTTAAGGGCATACATGCCACTGTGCTGCAATAGTGCGCTCTCATGTGCTGCTACCATATTGTTTTGGTTTCTGAGTGCAAACCAGTATGTACACAGAAACAATATTTAGACAATATTAACCACTTCAATACAGGGCACTTTTACCCTCTTCCTGCCAATACCAATTTTCAGCTTTCAGTTCTCTCACAGTTTAAATTACAATTACTCAGTCACGCTTCAGTGTACCCCAACAAAATTTTTTATCATTTTTTTCACTTAAATAGAGCTTACTTTTGATGATATTTAATCACCACTGTTTTTTTTTGTATTTTTTGCAATATAAGGAAAAGTGCGAACATTTTGAAAAAAAAAAAAACACGTTCTTTTAGTTTCTATTATAACATTTTGAAATTAAGTAATTTTTTTATCATAAATTTAGGTCAACGTTTATACTGCTACATATTTTTGGTAAAAATAACCCAAATTAGTGTATATTATTTAGTCTGTGTTAAAGTTATAGAGTCTAATGCTACGTATCACTGAAATTTGATCAAACCAGGTATACTTACTGCCTATTTCATTTCTTGAGGCCCTGAAATGTCAAGACAGTAAAAATACCCCCTAAATGACCCCTTTTTGGAAAGTAGACAGTCCAAGGTATTTAGTAAGAGGCATGGTGAGTTTTTGGAATTTTTTCCCACAATTCTTGAAGAAATTATTTTTTTTTAACACAAATTGTCATATTGCCAAGTTATTTCTCACAAACATAGGCAGGCTTGCAATTACACCCCAAAACACATTTTGCTAAGTTGTTAATTTATAAAATATCTCTAAAACAAAGCATGGCTATAGAAAGAATTAAACTCCAAAATACATTCTGCTACTTGCCCTGGGTATATCAATACTATATGTGAGACTTTTACACAACCTGTCCACATAAAGGGGCCCACCATCCAAGTAGCACCTACAGGCGTTATAGGGACATAAATTACACATCTTGCCTACCTATCATATTTTTGAAGGCCCTGGAGCACCAGGACAGTGGAAACACCCACAAAATGACCCCATTTTGGAAAGAAAACACCCCGACATATATCTTATAAGGCATAATGGGTATTTTGAAAATTACATTTTTTTACACAAAGTTGTCAATTTATAAGATATTTCTAAAACAAAGCATTGACATAGCAACAATTACACCCCAAAATATATTTTGCTACTCGTGCTGAGCATGGGGATACCACATGTGTAAAATGTTTACACAGCCTAGCTAAACAAAGGTTAAATAAAAGATTACCTGTGGTTATAGTAGAGCAGTTGTCCACAGAGGAGAGCATTGGTCCAGGAAGTAGGCAGAGATGTGGTCAGTAACAGCCAAAGGAATCATCCAGACAGCATGCAGGAATATGGTTTTTAAAAAGTCCTGGGTCATTACAGGCAGCAGACAGAGATATGGTCAGCTCAGCCAAAATATTGGTCCAGGCAGCAGGAAGGAACATGGTCCATACAAAGTCCTGGGTCAATACACACAGCAGGCAGAGATATGGTCAGCAAAGCCAAAGTATTGGTCCAGATAGCAGGCAGTAACATCAGGCTTAGGGCCTTGGTCAGGTAAGACCTGGGCACATAGGTAGATGTTTTGTCCCACCCATCTCTGCAAAGCCTTCAGACGAAGACCCTGATCTTGGAAAATCCCATAGAGAACCAAAAATTGGTTTTCTGTTCTCGGAACATTACTACTCTGAAGCCCCTCACATATGTGAGACCCCTGTGTTATCTTGAATCCCACTACTACAGTAGCAGGGCGAAATAACACAAGCGGCAGACAAAAAATATGGTCTATTAACAGGACCAGGTCAGTGCAGGCGTAAAGCAGAAACGTGGTTGATAAATAATCAAGACAATAGGCAGAGGCATTGTCAATAAACAGGCCAGGGTCAGTTCAGGTGCAAGGAACTCTATGACAGCTTGTTGGGTGTCATCATCCTCATTTGTGATTGCTTTGAACAAAGCAAGATTTATATTGTCATGTCCATTTGTCTTTTCCCCTTTGGAGAGCCTGAAGAGGCTGTTCTACCTGGGAAGCCTATGAGACTGCTCCTTGTTAGAACACATAACCCCTTCACAGAGTGAGTGAAACACTTACATTCATGTTTATCTGTCTTCTTCTTTTTTGAAAAGTCTGAAGAGGGCTGTCTTGCTTGGGAAAGCTCTGAGACTGCTCATCGCCAGACTAGATAATCCTTTCACAGGGTTTTGCCTGCTACTTAAAGCAGCTAAAACAAAAAAAAAGAAAAAAAAAAAACCCAATAATTTAATGAAGTAGAAAATAGCTTGCTTAGTAACCAACTGTAAAGGGTTAACCACTGCTAGAGGGATGCCAATACTTCAGCTTCCAACCATAGCCCTGAAGTCACCATGTGGTTAATGAACCAAACCTTGCCCTGACAGTTTTTGAGAAACTGGAGACCACAAACAAATATTAAAGGGATATCCTATACTACAACAGGCAATGCTGGCTACAGTAGTCATCCACAGGCGACTCCTCTACCTTCTCTGGGAATGCTGATCTTTAGAGGGGGTTGGCATAATGGCAAAATAGTAAAGCAAATATGAGAAGCAACCAACAGGTAATGCCATGTGTGAACAGACAAAGTATTACTTTGTGCACCTGTTATGCAAAGTATTATCTGTGGCAGAGCTCAGGGTATGCACAGCAGCTGCAGGGAGCAAGGCACAACAATAGCCAGCAATGCAGCATTCATTTGGATACAAAGCATTTTTACATATAGCTCACCCAACCTCCGCCATCCGACTGTAAACACTGGCATGCGTGCCTAGAGACTCTGCTTACACCGCTGCCCACTTCACATGGACCCAGTGGACCCCAGATAAGGCAGTTAGCCGTTATAAAAGCCGCCCGAGGACCAGCAGCAGGGCTCCCTGGTATATGGGTCCTTTAGCCGGTACACCAGGGACCGTGTCCAGCTGAAATCCACACGCATGGATGGACAGACAGCTCTTTTGACCAGCCAGGTAGAGGAGCACACTTAGATCCTGCACATGGGAGGAAAAAAGAGGAACATTAAGGCTGCAGGTGCGCTCACATTTATGAGTTAGGTCCTGGAAGCATGGGGGGCAGGGCCCTTACCCAGCTGTGCTGACATGTTGTTGTCAGGAAAGTAGTGGGTGCCCTGTGTCCTTCTTTATACTACCCAAAACTAAGAAAATACAGTTTCACTGAAGATGAGCTTTAAATACAAAAATATTTTTTTCCTAAAATATGTTTGACATTGATACAATCCACTACATTTTAATTAGCAATACCATAAGTTTCATGCCTGTGGTTATTAGGTCTAAATAGTTTTAGGTGCATTTTTTAAAGGTAGAGCAACTACTTTAATAATAATGGAGTACATTCTTGTATAACTAGATTTGGAATAGATCTATAACAAACTATGCCTAGTCACAGCATTACACAGTTACCAGCAGTACAAAACTTTATATTAACCTGACTCCTGTCTGTTCTTGTACAGCAGTTTTCAGTTTGAAGTGGCAGCGACTGGTTCAACATGTTTTATGTAGGAATCTTATTAACAGTTCAGGGTAGGGATGCAAAGCTTCTGTCAAACTGGTGTCAAAATACACCACAGCACAATACAAAGGTCATTTATACAACTTTTTTTTCTTGTCTTGCTAAAGGAATTTTGGAGGTTCTGCACAGTATCTTGATTGAAAGCCCAGAGGCTTTAAACTTAATAGAGAAAGGACACATTCGCTCTATCATTTCCCTGTTGGACAAGCATGGAAGGAACTACAAGGTAATATGAAAGGAACACTTGCTCATTTTTTTTTTTATGACCTCAGGGTAGAAGATAGACAATATGGTTCTGCATCCATTAGTACAAAAATGTTAATGTAGTTTATGAATACAGATGAGATCCCTAGCACATATATGTTTTGTGAGACTAGCTAAATGCTCATTTATTTTAGACGATTTGTTTCTGCCTTGCCTATGCAACAGCAGATTAAAAAGCAGACAGTGCCACTGACATTGTGATTGAAATATAGAATAAGTCACTGGGGTTGAACAATGAAATGTCTTTTTTTTTATTTTGTGGATTGTCATTCATATTCCCTTCTTTGAATGGAAATTTGTAAATTAACATTTGAATTCAGAATACTGAATACAATACATTTCTGAGCATCGTGTTTAAAAAGTACATTTTTGTTTTAATTAATGCATTTTTTTTTTTTAACAGGTAAAGTTTATTAGCTTTTAAAGTTACAAAACATATGCTTACCACTTACATTACAGGTCAAAGGCACTATGGTTCAATTTTAATAGAGTATGTAGTTATATAGGAGCAAAATTAAGGAAAAGGAAAAAGTGGGTGGGGGTGGCAATGAATTCATTAAAGCATTGGCATATAAGATTTAAAAAGCATACCATTCACATATACATGTTGTTTGTCTATGTACTGTTTATAGGCAATAACAAGCATGTGGGTGGGACTTAAGGCATCCTAGTGGGGGTACTGTGAAACTTCACTCACTAATGCCTGTAATACAGGCAGGAGCTGCAGTCATGTAAAATCATCATTGAGGCTGGGTTCACACTCATGCGGTGCGGTACATCGCATGTGATTTGCACAGGAACCGCACCGCATTCCTGTGCAAATCACATGCAAATTGTGTGCGGTGCGATTTGAGCCATACATAGGCAGTACTGCAAACTGAAACGAGCAGAGCAAACCACACAATTAAGACTTTGTAATACTTCTCACACTCATGATACTAATGAATTGAGGACACATTTTCTGTTAGAGATCACCTCTCCCCAGGATTTTTGAGTTGGTACTGTGGAGCTTGTACTTGTCTCAACCAACTCAGCAGCCCTGTCACCTCATTCCTAGTGACAATGTTCCGCATGTTACTAATGGATGCAAGAAACACACCTCTCCATATCTCTATTCTTATTCTTCCCCTGGGGCCTCCTCTACAACTTTCTCCGTGACTCCAGACTAGGTCTCTAGGTACTCTGTGCCGCAAGGCCAGTCCCAGCATGTGAGGAACTAGTTTCCAGTGAAGGGACCAAACACATTTATTGCTGGGTTAGTAGCCAATCAGGAAAATCACCATCAGACTGTGACCAATACCACTGTCCAATAGTACTTCTGAAAGCAGCTGAGTGCTAGCCCACCCCAATAAAGGGTAATTGTTTAGGTGCACCTCCCATCCCATATAAAGTTAGAGATGATCTGGTTACATAGTTGCATAGTTAGTCTGGCTGAAAAAATACAAAAGTCCACCTAGTTAAACCATAAAAAAAAGTTATAATCCTATACCCACAGTTGATCCAGAGTAAGGCAAAAAAACCCAGCAAAGCATGATCCAATTTGCTCCTACAGCGGAAAAAATTCCTTCCTGATCCCCCAGAGGCAATCCGATATTCCCTGGATCAACTATACCTATAAATGTTAGTATCCAGGTATATTATGTGTATCTAGGAAAGAATGCAGGCCTTTTAAAGCAATTCACTGAGTTGGGCAGAACTAAATCTTGAGGAAGTATACTCCACATTTTCACAGCTCTTACTGTGAAGAAACCTTTTTGTATTTGGAGATTAAATCTCTTTTCCTCAAGACGTGAAGCATGCCCCCTTGTCCTCTGTGATGACCTAAGGGTGAATAACTCTACACCGAGTTCACTATATGAATGACTGATGTATTTATACATGTTGATCATATCCCCCATTAATCTCCTCTTCTCAAGAGAGAATAAATTCAGTTCCTCTAATCTTTCCTCATAGCTGAGCTCCTCCATGCCTCATATCAGTTTGGTTGCCCTTCTCTGCACTTTCTCCAGTTCCCTAATGTTCTTTTTGTAAACTGCATATTCCAGATGAGGTGTTACTAATGATTTGTACAGGGGTAAAATTATATACTATATCTCTCTCTATACCTCTTTTAATACAAGAGAGGATTTTGCTCGCTTTGGAAACCACAGCTTGGCATTGCATGCCATTATTAAGCTTGTGATCTACCAGAACTCCCAGATCTTTCACCGCCATTGATTTCCCCAGTTGTACCCCCCCCCCCCCCCAGTATGTATGATGCATGCATATTCTGCCCCCAAGTGCATAACCTTACATTTATCAACATTAAACCTCATTTGCCATATAGTTGCCCAATTAAACAGTGCATTGAGGTCAGCTTGTAAATTGAAGACATCCTATAAGGATGTTATTCCACTGCACAGCTTGGTGTCATCTGTAAAGACTGAAACGGTATTTTTAATCCCAGACCCTATATTGTTTATAAATATATTAAAAAGTAAGGGTCCCCACACTGAACACCACTAACAACCCTAGACCATTCAGAGTATGAATCATTAACCACTACTCTCTGAATATGATCTTTTAGCCAGTTTTCTATTCATTTACGTACTTATTTTTCCAAGCCTGTAGACTTTACCTTACACATTAGCCGTGTGGGGAACTGTGTCAAACGCTTTTGCAAAATCCAAGTATACCACATCCACAGCCATCCCTATGTCCAAAGTTTTGCTCACCTCCTCATAAAAAGAAATAAGATTTGTTTGACAACTTCTATCTTTCATGAATCCATGCTGTCTGTTGCTTAAAATATTTTTTTATATAGCAAGACCTCATCTATGTGGTCTTTTATTAAACTCTCCAGTATCTTCCCAACTATAGATGTTAAATTAACAGGTCTATAATTAGTTGGTAAAGATTTTGATCCCTTTTTAAATATAGGTACCACATTGGTCTTACGCAACTCCAGTGGTACTATGCCAGTCATTAAAGAGTCTCTAAAAACATTGGCTTTGAAATGACAGAGCTCCATTCTTTAACTCTTTAATTCTTTAACATGGGTGTATGCCATTCAGTCCAAGTGCTTTATTCACCTTTATTTTGTCTAAATGTTGTATCTCTGGATCATATTAGTTGTGAGCCAATCAGGATTATCTGGGGCTGTATCAATACCATGCCCATTATGGACAAGAGCTCCCCCATGGTCCTTTGTATACACAGAGCTGAAGAAGGTATTTAATAAATTGCCTTCTCTTTGTCCCCAGTCACCCACTCTAGATTATTTTGTAAAGGGCCTACATGCTTGGACCTGACCTTTTTACTATTAATATATTTTTGAAGACTTTTTGGGGTTTGTCCTGCTATCTTTTGCAATCTGTCGTTCGTTTTCAATTTTTGTGGCCTTTATTTCCTTTTTACATATTCTGTTATATTCTTTGTAATGTTTAAATGATGATAACATTCCTTCATAAATATATTATACTTAATAAAAGCTCTTTTCTTTTATTATATATAGTTTTTTTTTTACTTTGTCCATAAGCCACATAGGTTTAATTTTTAACCTTTTAAACTTGTTGCACATGGGAATATATTTTGCAGTGTGTTCTCATACAGTCTTTTTGAAGAACTCCCATTTCTGTGTTGCATCAATGCCAATATTCCCTCCCAGTCTAATTCTTGGAGAGCAGCTCTCATCCTTGGAAAATTAGCTCTCTTAAAGTTGAGCTTTTTTATTTTTCCCGTATGTGCTTGTTGTTTACAGCTAACAATAAATGAAATCATGTTATGGTCACTGCTACCCAGATGTTCTTTTATATGGACATTAGTAATAATGTGCGTTCTGTTGAAAAAAATGTTTAAGGTATTGGGATAGGGGCTTGTCTAAAGAAATGTAGAACTGTTGAGAGCAAGTTCACCTTAATAGCAATTACCTGTCCCACCAGGGTCAGTGGTAGAGGTTTCCACATAGCACATTTTAAAGTTAATTGTTGAAGTTATTAATTTAAGTTATCATTTATATGTTGGAAAAGGTTACATCATATTTTACCTCCAAAATCTTTAAAGTGGAAAACTACTGCATAATGCTACTAGATACACTTACCCTATCTCCAAACCTCTACTCCATGAGTATCCCACAGGGAAATACCCTCATTTGTAGCTATGGCAGAGACCATGCAAAAAGGAGCCAACTCTAAATAGCAAGAGAATATTCGCTCTGCTGAAGGGATGAAAACATTTTGGCTCAGAGTCATGATGTGTCCCTTGCACTGGAGCAGGAACTGGTCTTAACACCTGTCCCAGCATCCAAATCTACCTCTAGCAAAATCAGACTTTTCTGCATCTATGTCATAATTCCATGGACAGATTTCGGCATTAATTCAGCCACCTGTATCCAGAGCTCTAAAATGCCCCACCTCTTCTTCCACTCCCATTTTTCAACTGGAATTGCACCCTGATATACCAGTCCTAGAGAATAAAGAGGATGTTGAGTGTTGGAATAGGCTGTGGACGATTTCACTTCCTAAACTGTCACTACGTTGAAGAGGGAGCCTCTTGCAACATGTTTGCTAACGTTGCAAAGCTCATTCCTGTCTGCAAAAGTTTTGGCATTGTTCAGATTGTCTCTCCTCCATCTCGCTAGGCCCTGTTGGGAAACAAGAGACCTACAAAGACTTGCAAAACAGTCCTTGTTCATGAACAGATAGAATGGGCAGTCCATGATGATTAGCTTCCTTGAAAGGATTTTTTTCTCCCCTCAAAATCTTTACTGAACTCTAGCCAGTAGAAGACAGGTTACAAACAAGTGGGCCATTCCTGGTTGATCCTGTCATTTCAGACCTCAACATAAATTGCCTGGATGTAGTCAGAGCCATTAAAGTGTACCTAAAAGCTACTACTTCCATAAACAGATTCCCTATTTGTTTTTTTCTTTGCGTACTCGCAAAAAGGGTAGCCCGCTGCAAAATCTACCATTGCACGGTGGATAAGGGAATAGATTGCTGGAGCCTGTGCTCAAAACAAAAAAACCTCTGCCTGAGCTCCTGTGGAGCCTTAAGGGGCCACACCTCTGTCTCTCAACTGTGGGAGGCCACCAGCTAGTCTTCTTTACATAATATTTCAAAGTTTTACAAGGTGGATGTACAATCTTTTTCTGACACAGATTTCAACTGCAAAGTTCTAGCAGTGGCACTCTGTTGTTATTTTTGGACCTGTGAGCACAATTCTGTTTGCCTAGTTTTTGTCCACCCTTATAATTATTGCTTGGGGAAGTCCCATAGTGTATGAATAAGATGCCTGTGTTCTGTACTGTATGATTAAGATCAGAGAACTGTTGACTTGCTTATACTTTTCATATCTTAGCATACAGGATAGAGCACAGGCCACCATCCCTAAACTCTCTGTGTTACTCTTAAGGAGGGGTGTGTACTTGAAAGCTTGTCAGTGTCCTATGAGCTGAAGGTACAAGCCTTTATCCTATGGTATATGAAAAAGATACCTATGTCCTGTACTGTACTTTAAGATATGGAATTTTCAGGTAAGTTACAATTCTTCGATTTTTTGTTTTCTTCATGAGGCCAGTGCCTCACGTGATCTTGAGTATATAAAGAGTTTGTTTTTTTTAAAGACTGATAGACTATTCACTTTGCAAGGGAATTTGCACTTTGAAAGGGAATTTTCTCCAGAGCTTAGAGAATGAGGTGAAGCTCTGCTGACTTCTATTATCCAATCATGTACTTGCAAAAATGCTGTTTTTGCTTTTTTTTTTAACTTGTATGTGATTGGGTATTATTTGCAAAGTGCAATTTCACCCACATTCACTAAGCTTTGTGGCAATTCCCTTGCAAAGTGAACAGCCTATTTGCCTTTAGTAAATCAACCCCAATGTCTAGAGGCAAAAATGATTTGTAGTGGAATAGAAGTGAAAGCTCTTATTTGACTCTACACATGCTGATCTATTCCTGGTTGCTATATGTATTCTTCATGATTCTCTTAATTTATCAGGTCCTGGATGTCCTTTGCTCTCTGTGTGTTTGCAACGGAGTTGCAGTACGTACTAATCAGAACCTCATCTGTGACAACTTGCTGCCTAGGAGAGATTTATTGTTACAAACCCGCTTGGTTAATGATGTCACCAGGTAGAATTTAAACTTCTATTGTTGTTGATCTTAAATTTTATTTATCTTATCAGCTGGCTTTATTTTATCATCGCTGAGCTGCTGCTCTGTGCGTCCATAAGACACATAAAGCCGCGGTTCGGTCCTGCTCTCTCCTCATTGGCTCACTGGCTGTGATTGACAGCAGCGGGAGCCAAGGGATCTCAGCCAATTAGGAGGAAGAGTCCCTAGACAGCAAAGGCTGTCGAGAATGTGTCGCTGGATCAGATGGGGGCTCAGATGAAGATTAAGGGTTGTTGGGGGGCCGCTGCACACAGAAGGCTTTTTTACCTTCATGCATAGAATACATGAAGGTAAAAAACCCTGAGCCTTTACACTCTGGTCACATTAAAGCCGATTTTGAAATCATGGGACTTACAGTGAAGTTGCACGATTTCAAAATCAGGTGACCTGCTGATTTCCTTGCGATTTGCAAGACATCTGACACAGATGTCTATGCAAATTGCAACAAAAGTAGTGCATGCACTACTTTGGAAATCAGTGCGGCGCCGACCAAGTCAGAACCGCATCAATATGACCGCTGTAATAGCGGACAATAGGGTGCTACCTGGCATATGATTTACATGTCACCTGGCATGTAAATTGCATGCCAAATCACACCCAATGTGACCGGGGGCTTAGAACCACTTTAAATGTACAGCTCTCTTTTTGAGATCTTTTTGATCTGTACAACACACACAACCACTAAAATCAGAGGTACCAGTGTTTTTCAAAATGTAAATCAGGTAGGATTTTCGTGTTATAAGGTGTTCTCCCTGTTGTGCCCCTTTTTGTCTTCTTGTCATATGGGCTTCTAAGGGTATTTCAACATACACTACGTAGGCATGATTTACTTTTGTCAAATTCAGAAAACTGGCTCTGAAAAAAAGCAAAAAATGATACTTGAGTCTTTTGCAAACAAAACATTTAGTTAGTGTTTACATTTTAATAATGGCTTGTGAACAATTCCTTGGTGTCCTCACATCCATTGCAAGACTATACATACCATGTATTGTGCTTAAAGATGTTGGAAAATTTGCGAACATCAAAGCATAAGGATGAAGATGCCTTAGGGAACAGTCTAGCAGTGTGAACTGAGCCTGCTGGAGCAAAAGGTCGAGTAAGTAAATCTGCTCTCTCCTCGATCCTGAGAGGTCCACTGGTTGTCCAATAATAAGTGCTCATATCACGTAAACATTTTTGTAGGCACTTGAAAAAGGACCCATTCTGGATTTAACAGAAGAGCAGAAGGCTTAGAACAGTGGGGTTTATTTATTAAAGATTGAGAGTGCAAAATCAGACTCATCTCTGCACAGAAACCAATCAGCTTCTAACCTCAGCTTGCTCAATTAAGCTTTGTCAATAAAACCTGGAAGCTGATTGAGGCATAGAGGCTGATGGGAGACAGGATGATTCTATGTCAAAGTATGGGTTTAAAATACATGATAATTATGTATTCAGATAAGCTTTGCTCCCTCAGAGTATGATTGGATATCCATAGCTTTCCTATTTTTTTTTCACTACAACTTTCCTTCTTTTCCTGTCCTTAGAACATAAAATTGTTTCTTGTAAATATTTATTTTTACTCACTAGTCCTATAGTGTATTTTAATCTTTAATGGCTGAGATTTATGTTATCTTGAGCAAGTATATGACATAGAGGTCTATGTATAAGAAGGTCACTGAATAAAAGTGACACACATCTGCACAATTCCAACGAAACTTGTCTTAGTCTATGTTATATAATTATCTTTTAATTAAGCTTTGTCAATAAAACCTGGAAGCTGATTGAGGCATAGAGGCTGATGGGAGACAGGATGATTCTATGTCAAAGTATGGGTTTAAAATACATGATAATTATGTATTCAGATAAGCTTTGCTCCCTCAGAGTATGATTGGATATCCATAGCTTTCCTATTTTTTTTTTCACTACAACTTTCCTTCTTTTCCTGTCCTTAGAACATAAAATTGTTTCTTGTAAATATTTATTTTTACTCACTAGTCCTATAGTGTATTTTAATCTTTAATGGCTGAGATTTATGTTATCTTGAGCAAGTATATGACATAGAGGTCTATGTATAAGAAGGTCACTGAATAAAAGTGACACACATCTGCACAATTCCAACGAAACTTGTCTTAGTCTATGTTATATAATTATCTTTTATGATCATACATGCCCTATAGTGGCCATAATGTGGTATTTGTTTTAGAAACAGGAAAAAAATAAATTTTGCACACTAGATACTGTTTATGATTGTAGAAGATAATTATATAACCCAGAATTTATCTAGTTTCGTTGGAGCTGTGTGGATGTATGCCACATTCATTTAGGAAACTTTTTATACATAGACCCCATTGTGTAAGTCTTAGGCATGAGTGGTCATTTACAGCATAGTAAGAAACAATTTTGTTAAAATTACCATGAAATTTTGGCATAACCATATGGATGTTTGCATGTGTCTTTCAGCATGAGACCAAACATCTTCCTGGGCGTGGCAGAGGGCTCAGCTCAATACAAAAAGTGGTACTTTGAGATGATCATTGATCAAGTAGATCCATTTTTGACACCAGAACCAACTCATTTGCGCGTTGGCTGGGCTTCAACCTCAGGTTATGCTCCATATCCTGGAGGAGGTGAAGGATGGGGAGGCAATGGTGTAGGTGATGATCTTTTCTCCTATGGTTTTGATGGTCTCCACTTGTGGTCTGGTAAGTGTTTTCCTAGATTATTTTAAATTTTGAGAATTCACAAAGTATCCATAGTTTATCCAATATACAGTTTGTAGACAGGCGGGGTAATGTAATATTTGCTTTCAAATTGGCTGATGTTATATCAGTTATCAAATTGTTATCATAAATAGTGATCCATTTGCAGAAATCACTGACATTCTTTTTCTTCTGTACAATAACAAGTAAACAATAGCTCAGCAGCTCAAACATATAAACACTATCAGCAACATGGACATGGTCCACTGAAACAAAAAGAGGCAATGTTAATACAATGTAAGGTGGCAACCATTAATCCTTTGCAAGGGTGCTGTTGATAAGAAAACATTGCTCGTTGTTAACGAAAATAAAACAGTCCTAATTAGGAAATGTTTGGTGGCCCTTTTGAGGCATCATCCATGTCCCCATTAACCAGTTCTTTTTGGCTGTACATGTGCATATGGTTTCAGGAGATTGCAAATACCCTGGCTTTTCTTAAGCTACGCAGTATTTAGTTTCCTAATATTCCAGCACATTGTGACTGGAATACACACATATAGAACTGTGCCAGTACATTGGGGTGGATGTACTAAAACTGGAGAGTGTAAAATCTGGTGCAGTTGTGCATGGTAGCCAATCAGATTTTATGTGATCTCTATTTACGGTGGAAACAGTACAAAGCAAATTAAATAGACAATTCTCATTCAGTATATACAGAAAAGGTCATAACCAACAAGGCAAGCTCAAGTCTTCCAGAGCCACTGATGTTCAATCATAAAAGATACACGACTCCACTGCAGAATAAGGACTAGCGGCATAATAAGCTAACCTGAGGTATTAGGTCTTGTCACAATATGTAAACATGTCAACTGCATCTAGGTCGCGGGCTGGAGTACAAAAAAAGAGATGTCAGTATTCACAAATAAAAGGAAACCCCAACTACCGCCCAGTTAAGTATACAGTGGCATGAGGGGAAAATCAGGATTGCTGGTGCGCCCTGAACAAATTGTTTGAAGGTGGGATGCGCAAATGCCAGCAGAGTTACATCTAAGCTAGAGGAGGGTGCAGGTGATCCGGATGCATAGAGCCTCCAGGATGCCCAGATAGCGTTAAGTGGTCCTGAGTACCCCTACATGTTGCGATCCACTCTTCAGCTTCCATTATCTCACCTTCCCAATCCAATCTTATTGGCTGGGGACATGAGAGCTCTTCCAGTGGACAGGAACAAGGCGTTTTGCGGCATTGAGGAGGTGAGGAAGAGTGCTGCGTTTGTAGTGGGAAAAAGGTATGGTGGGGGTGTGAAGTAAAAAGTGTTTAGGAAAGAGGGGGAGATCTATGTCCAAAATCTTCGCTATGCAGTCCTGGATGTCCACCCAGAAAGGCAAGAGCACAGGGCTGTCCCACCAAATGTAGTGGAATGTACCTCTCTGTCCACAGCCTCTCCAGCAGCTGTCATAAAAACGGACGGGGGTAGATCAGGGCAAGTCCAGTGGGCATACGGTACCATCTCAACAACAATTTGAAGTTATTCTCCTGAGTCTTAGGGGTTTATTTACTAAAGCTGGAGAGTCCAAAATCAGACTCCCTTCTGCATAGAAACCAATCAGCTTCTAACCTCAGCTTGTTCAATGAAGCTTTGGCAATGAAACCTGGAAGCTGATTGGTTTCTATGCAGAAGTGAGTCTGATTTTGCACTCTCCAGCTTTAGTTAATAAACCCCTTAGTGTCAATAGGACTAGAATGCATGAACCCATGTAAGTGTTGCAGCGGCTCATCAGTAAACTCACACCGCAGGTCTCGTTCCCATTTCCTGATGTATATCAATTTAGGATTGGAGGTAGCCAAGGCAAGTAGTTTATAGAGAACTGAGATCATATGTGGGGTGGGGTCTCTGGCAGCCCACAGGCGCTTGAAGCTTGTAAGGGTGGGCCTAATCTGAGTTAGGTGAGTCTGCGTGAAAAAGAAATGGTGGAGCTGGCTGTGGTTCCAGAAATCGAAAGGAAAGCCACCAAAATGCTCCCTAAGTAGGTAAGTGAGGCCAGGGTACCACCCTCCATAAAATGAAACAAACTAACATTTCCATCCCTCACCCACGGTCCAAAATAGGAAAGCTGTTCCCCTGGGGAAACCCTACTGGTGCCAATGATGAAATAGGCCAATCAGCTTTTAAATTCAACTTGTTCAATTAAGCTTTGACAATAAAACCTGGAACCTGATTGTTTTATAAGCTGAGCAAATACCTACCACAGTAAATAGTCCTTGTTTATCTGTTTTTAATGTTACTGCAGGTTTTGAGGAGTATAAATACACACATGATTCTTCTGCAGTTCTTTCAAGCTGCCTAATTGGCATCACTAGTTGCCTCAACATTTTTTTACAAACTTTTTTTTTGTAAATAAGCAGCCTACACTGCACTACCATGGACAAATCACTGCTGAACAGGAATGCCCAGCCTTTCATGGTCTGTTAAACTAATGTAGTGCTACCCCCTTTCCTAAAAAACAATGGAGAGGCAGCCAGGCACACAGCAACAGTCCATTCAATCTGGTTCCAATAAACAGTCTAGGGGTTGTCTTTTTTATATTTATTGCTTGTGGAACTTGGGATGGAAGAGGGGTGAGGGTGGTATGGGATACTCAAGGCACACTGAAAAGTAATCTAGAGCACACTCTTGACTAGGTTAGATTTCTTTGAACAGTCTCTATGCCAGGAATTTACAGGAATGGCCAGGATTGGAACCCTGTGAGAGTGGTCTCAGAAAGAGCTGCTGCTGGCACTGTTCCTTCAAAACCAGCACGTAGCCTCTTGGTTCCTTGAGCTTAGGTTTATTCTCATAATGTCTCTTCATGACAGCTAAACTCTCCAGTTTCCTTCAGACATCTCTATGCTTCAGGACAGCTACCCAGCTCTTAGCTTCCATCAGACACTCTTCAGTGAAGGAGGGGTTAATACTCACACTGCCACAAGACAGCCGCACACTTTTCCAGCTTTGCACTCTTCAGTGAGTCCTCCAGATCAGATCCTTAGCTTCAGAATAAATTAGTAATAGGCCTCCAGCTGTGCCACAGCTGGGACCTTGATTGACTTCAGGAGGATTTCCTCAATAGCCCCAGAGGCTGGGGATTCTTCCAGCTGGCCAGACTATTTATATGTCTTTCCCACCACCTACTGGGCACAACTCCCCAGGTATTGGCTGCAGCATAATAAATATTCAGGCTGCCCATCTGAATCTTTAAGCCTTCTGTGTTCTAGAATTCCCTGCATTCTAGAATCCTCTAGAATGCAGGGGGAGCAATGAAATCTGCTACATGTGAGATTCAGAACATTCTAAAGTTTACACATTCAATGAACACAGTGTGGTGGTGTGTGTCACAATATTTTCCATGCAGGATCCATGTGTAATATTATATTAAGATTGAACACTAAAGAGATCATTGCATACGTTTGGGTCATATTTTAAAAAAGGACAGTATTGTATAATTTTGAAAAGTAGGAATTTTTTTTCTTTGTTTCATAATGGCACCGATGTACGTTTTTCACTATGGTGATGTTTTCTTGAGTATATATTAGGCTTTCAACACTAGTGACCACTGCACTTAATTTTTGTTTGGTCAAATTGCAGTCTTGATTGTTGACTCTTACTGCAGAGGTCTTAAGTGTGCTTCCATGTCTTCCCCTGCAGAATCTATATTTCCTTCCTGAGCATTAGTGATCTCTGAGCCTTCAGTCACTGAGACTTTATCTGATACTGGGTCTCTTAAGTCCTCATTGAACGATACCACACCGAGGAGTCACAGGTCTCAGCTAATACTCTTAGACTTAAAGAGACCATCTTGGCTATTACTTATTTGCTTCGCTTTACCATACAATTTGAGGATCTGCCTGCAGCTTCTACCAGTACTGTTCTTAACCTAGGCTACTTTGGGGTCACCAGGATTGCTAAGACCTTTCTGGTGCACCCATTATTTTCAGTAATACTCTACAGATATTCAATGATCTCTAACAAGGTATTCACACCTCCTAAGAGGAGGATTTTGTTAAAAAGTTGACTCTCTCTCCTCTCTATGCCATCTTAACAAAGCTCTAACCATCCCTGTTGAGGATATGCCTCTGTTTAAGGACCCCATCAACAAGCGACTGGAGGCCCTGTCTAAAAGCTTTTTTTTTTTCCTCCATTAGTTGAAGAACACAACAAAGATCTGGAGACACTGAAATATAGTTCCACCTGCAGGAGTTGGATGCTAGGTATAAAAACTAACAAAGGTGGTTGGTCCCTGCTGGTGGTCAGTCCCCCATTTGTTAACAAGGGCTTAGATTTTTTGTCTGGCTCAAGGAGCTAAGACCTAAGAATCTGTACTGGGATTCTTTTTCAATTCTGTCCTTCAGGTTTTTTTTGCTCATTTCTTCACTCACAGAATTCTGGGTGACAAGCTGGATGTCTATAGATCCTTGTATTCCTCCAGACCTATCATCCAGCACATGCAGTTCATCACCTTGGCAGATTTGGTTCTGACAACTCACACAGTGCCATCTGTGAAAACTTTCTTGAGGAACATTTATAAGAAGCTGGCCCTTACTGCCCAGCCACAGTGTTCCTTCATAGGCAGGTGGCAACTAGATTCTAGCTAGAGTTCATCTTCCATCACCCTTGAGTTTCTGGCTACAAGGGACATTAGGAAATACCCTTTTCCATCAAAGGCAGCAAGTCCATGAAGCCTTCCATCTCCTCAGGGTCCATATGCACCTGGCAGCACAAATCTACCAGACCTACTGAGGAACAGTCCTCGTGAAGGTTTGCCCCAACCCTCTTAAGGTGGGGGGTTGTATTCTGAAATTTGGGGGTTCTTGGTTGTCGCATATCTCGGACAACAAGGTCAACAAGTTGACAGGGTCATGCTACAAAATATTATTTCATTCTTCACCTCCAGACTGTTTCTTCATGGCCAATTTTTGCCTGTCTCCTCTGTGGAAACAGAACTTACACAGAGCAATATCCAATATGT